CCCTGGGATACGTTCTCCCCAAATAAGATATCTATTGTCTAATTTTTGTTGGAACCCATTCATACATACAGCTTCCTTCACAAATGCTTTCACCTTTATTTCCCTCAATAGCCCCGTGACATAGACATTTCTATAGTATCTCTAGGGTTCAGTGACTTGTGCGTGCTTTTACAGAAACCAGAGGCAGAACCCAGTGTAAGTGGCATCCAGCCCAGCAACCAACTTATCCCTGAGGCGGCTCCATAGGAGGCTTAAAGATCCATTTCTGTCAATCCTCCGAGGACCCGACTTCACTGGTGAATGAGCGACTGCAGGGGATTCAGAGAATGAAGTAGTGAGAAGAAGGTCTTTTCTTCCTGGGATCGTAGAGATCATTTTCAATGGTCAGCTGTGCGTTGCTTTCTTTCATGTCCTCCAACAGCTTCAGCATTGGAGGATCATATTTATCTATTTTCAACCTGGGAGACAAGGGGGGGAAAAAAAGGTTTCTTGTTGCTTCAAGGAGATTCGTTTCAAATTCCCCAGTGCCCGAAAGGCTCACATGTTAAGGATGCACAGATGGCCGGGCGTGGTGGCTCACGCCTGTAAATCCTAGCACTCTGGGAGCCAAGGTGGGCGGATTGCTCGAGTCAGGAGTTCGAAACCAGCCTGAGCAAGAGCGAGACCCCATCTCTATTAAAAAAAAAAAAAAAAGGATGCACAGAGCATTGGGCCCCATTTCTCCATTATTTTATGCTGCAAAGTAGAGTTCCATATTGATGCAACAGGGAAAAAGGGTATCAGGTTTACACTGACATGGTACAAAGCCACTGTGCAGCTTGGATGATCTTCACGTTGTATGAGGAGCGAGAGAGGGAAGTGAAGGACCCATCTGTGACATGGCTCTAATACCAACCTATCTGCTCTGTAGCCCTACTGTGACAATTCCACGTGGTGCAACACGGAATACGGCTACAGACTCAAATTACTGTCTTGAACTAAGCCAGTCAGGCCAGCCTTTGTGCCTCTCTTCTTTAAAAAAAAAAAAATATGTATGAAAAAAAGAGACACAGGATATTAGTTTCCATGTTTCTTGTTAGCATTGCAGTCCTGGCTTTTGGTATCAGTTTTTGTTGTTTCAGATTCACATACACCCGATATGCAACCTTAAGCCAGCTTGAGTAGATGTCTTGTCAGTGACTAAAATATTAATAACTTTGGATAAGATAAAGGCCAACTAGCTTCAAAGTGTTTTAAACACGATCCTCCAAGGTTGAGTGTAATTGTGTTGATTCAAGACTGTTGGAGCTTGGCCAGTCATGGTAGAGGAACAAGAAAAGTTCCCATGGCCAAATCTGTGTGGCCAAAATTGTGGAAGGAATCAGAAATGGGGTGTGGGCTGGGCATGGTGGCTCATGCCTGTAATCCTAGCACTCTGGAGGCTGAGGCGGGCGGATTGCTCAAGGTCAGGAGTTTGAAACCAGCCTGAGCAAGAGCGAGACCTGTCTCTACTAAAAATAGAAAGAAGTTAATTGGCCAACTAATATATATAGAAAAAATTAGCCGGGCATAGTGGTGCATGCCTATAGTCCCAGCTACTCGGGAGGCTGAGGCAGAAGGATCGCTTGAGCCCAGGAGTGTGAGGTTGCTGTGAGCTAGGCTGACACCACGGCACTCATTCTAGCCTGGGCAACAAAGTGAGACTGTCTCCAAAAAAAAAAAAAGAAAAAGAAATGGGGTGTGAAGGACCAAATGAGGTGTGATGTTAGAGTTCTTTGGCTGCAAATAAGAGAAAGTGACTTGAGGTAACTTAGAAGGGCATATTAGAAGGATATGGGGTATCTGCCGGAATCAGAGATAAAAACCCAATTATAAAAGGGACAGGGCTGGGGTATTATACCTTTCTAGGGTCTAGGATCCAGGCAGGAGAAGCCCTCACCTTGAATTCACCGATCTTGAAACTCAAAGACCCAAGAAAGAATGTCTGACCGGCTGGTCCAAAGAAACACCCCCACTATTGTCTTTGTTGGGGGCCTTATGTTGTGATTAAAACTCACCAATGTTATCTAAGGTGGGAGAGAGAGCTAACTTTAAGGGCTAGGAAAAGAAAAAACAAAACTTTAGCATACTCATGTTCCTTCTTTTGGCTCACACGGTAACTTAGGGCTGAGATTCATGTTAAGGCCAGGCGTGGTGGCTCACACCTGTAATCCTAGCACCCTGGGAGGCCGAGGCAGGAGGATTGCTTGAGGTCAAGAATTCAAGACCAGCCTGCGCAAGAGTAAGACCCCATCTCTACTAAAAATAGAAAAATTAGCCGGGCATGGTGGCACATGCCTGTAGTCCCAGCTACTCGGGTGGCTGAGGCAGGAAGATCACTTGAGCCCAGGAGTTTGAGGTTGCTGTGAGCTAGGCTGACACCACGGCACTCTAGCCCAGGCAATGGAATGAGACTGTCTCCAAAAAAGATTCATGTTAAATAAATATGTAATCTATGTTTCTTTTACTTCTCTACATAATTATGATTTTAAGCTACCAGTAGTCTATATTGCATCAGAGAATGTCAAAAAGTCCCTAGGAAGGGTGCATGGTTCTTTGTTGCCATGGTAACAAGCAAACAGAACCCAATGACAACTTGCTCTGATTAGCAAGCATGCAAGAGACCATTGGCAATAGCTTCCACTGCCCCAAACCACTCTCAGACAGAGGAGTCACTCAAGAGAAAACGCTTCCAAGGCTGATGCCGACATGTCAGACCTCTTTTCTAAAAGTGGCCTCCGAGATGTGCAATTCCATTTCCCTAACAAGTGGCCAACCGCACAGCTCTCCCTCCCAGAGGCTATAAACCCAGCTTCCTGGTTTCAGACGGAGCGTTGGTGGCATCCTTGGACTTACCTTACCCACCAAAGCAACAGAGGCAACGAATCGGCGAGTTGCCTGGCCACCAAACACCAATGCACGAACGTTAAACGTTAGTGGCTGCCTGTGACAGATGCCTGCTGTCTGTGCTCCCCCAAAACCGATCGTCCCAGAGGAGACATGCTGGGGAGTAGAAGGATCATACCTGAGTGTCTGAAGGGGGCAATTTGGACGTTTCAAAGCTTCACACAGCATCTTTATCCCATTAAACCCCAAGGTGTTCTGGCCCAAGTCCAGAGTGATCAGGCTCTGGTTGCCGCCGAGGGCAGTGGCGAGGTCTTCACAGCTGAAGCGGGTGATGGAACAACCCCACAACCTTGTTGGCAAAACACAGAATTCAACTCATTAATTCAACCAATGCCGATTGATACCGTCCCACGTGCCAGGCACACTCTTGGGTGCTGGGGATCTACCCGACCAATGAAGTCTCTGCCCTCAGAGCACATCTGCTGATCAGAGAATAATGAGCGTGTTGTGCCTCACAGAAGTGAGGGACAAGGGACAAAGGACAAAGGGAATAGCCAGGGGTTCTAATTGCAATGGTCAAAGGGGACTTGAGAGGTAAAGAGCATAAACCACAGAGATCTGGAATAGCAGCTCTCCAGGCAGAGAAGTAGCTTGTGCAAAGGCCCTGAGGTTGCGTATGGCTATCCTGTAAAATATTAATAGAAGACCAAGGCAGCCAGCATGAGAGTGAGCTGGGGGGTGAGAGAGTTGTAAAAGCTGAGGTCATGGGCAAAAGGGGGCAGCTCACGTAAGACCCTTTGACCATCATAAGTTTAGGATTTTATAGGATTGAAATGGGCAACCACTGAGGGTTTGGGGCAGAGAGATATGGGAATTATATCTTCTAAGTTATAGAAGAAAACAGAAAACTGTAGGGGAATGAAGAAGGTAGAATACAGATTAATTTGAAGGCTATACAACAAATGGTAAATAAAATAGTTTGTTTTGAGATATAATTCCTACCACAGTTTTTGGTGGATAAAAGATCAGTTTCAGACAAACACCTAAATTCTGCCTATCAGAATTCTAAAGAGAGGTATAAAATTTGATGTTGGATAATGGCAGCATGGAGATGGGCTGGGTGTGGTGGCTTATGCCTGTAATCCTAGCACTCAGGGAGGCTGAGGCAGGAGGATCCCTTGAGGTCAGGAGTTCAAGACCAGCCTGAATAAGAGTGAGACGAAAAAAATTTTCTACCTACTAAAAATAGAAAAATTAACTGGGCATGGTGGCATGTGCCTATAATCCCAGTGACTTAGAAGGCTGAAGCAGGAGGATCACTTGAGCCCAGGAATTTGAGGTTAACTGTGAACAAGACTGATTGCATGGCACTCTAGCCTAGGTGACAGAGTGAGCTTCCATCTTGTCAATAAAACAAACAAAATAGTACTGAGGAGAAAACTTTCTTCCATTTGGAGGTGTCACGTGGGCAGAAGATATACAAGGGACACACGAATGTCCAAGGGCTATGCATATACGTGCACAGACATATACACAAACACATGTGAGATTAGGGAATATATCATATTTAGGTTTACCCCAGGATCTTGAATAGGCTAAGCATAATAGTAACACTTAGCATCCTGGTGGTGGCCCAAACTTGCGTAACACGCATAACATTTCACAATCATGACCACCTTTTGCAATGGATTCAACTAACCAACCCTATTTCCTAGAATATGTAACTCAGACTACTGCCAGCAAGTTACAGCTGGCCACATAAATGGTGGCCATCCCTAAAACTTTTCCTGGGTGGCCTTTTTTCTATTTACTCATTATATATGTATATTCACCCCCCTCTCCCCTCCCCCCCTGCCCTATACCCAATTACTGTAGTTCCTATGTGTCCACTTAGGCGCTGCTCAGCTTAATACCAGTTTGCTGGTGAGTATATGTGGTGCTCGTTTTTGGATGTCACAGACCAGAGCCTATTCCCTTCAGCGATCCGAATGGATGCTTAAAACACTCAATAGACTTACAAGTGCTGGAGGGATCTGCCACACCGATATTTCATTTCGGGTCTGGATCAAAAGTTCAATCAAGCACAACTCACCACAGACATCTCAAGTTACACAGTGGCTCCTTCAAAGCCTCACACAGAGACCTCAGTCCAATAGTTCCGATGTGATTCAGCCCCAGATCCAAATGCGTCAGGCTTGATTTTTGTCTGACCACCTTGGAGAGGAGTTTGCAGCCATTGTCGGTGATGTTGCAGTGCCACAGCCTAGAAGTCGGTGCCAGGAGGGAAATAAGACAGCCTCATCAGTCCTGGCTGCTGCCACACACCAAACCACGATAGAGCGTGGGTTTTAGACACACTCAGAGAACACATCATGGGGTGGTGCGGTGGGCAGAATAGCAGCCCCCCCATGGATGCCTGAGTCCTAATTCCTGGAACCTGTGAACATGGCAAAAGGGACTTTGAAGATGTGATTAAGGGACTTTCAAGTGGGAAGATTATGCTGGACTGTGTGACTGGGTCCAACGCAGTCACACGGATCCTTACAAGGAGGAGATGAGAGAGTCAAAGTCAGCGGGAGGAGACATGATAAAGGGGCCAGAGGACATTTGAAGACGCCACACTGTTGGTCATGAGGCAAGGAAGGGGCCATGGGCCAAGGAATGCAGGTGGCCAGAGGAAGCTGGGAAGGTTTTCTCCCCTGGAGCCTCCAGGAGGAGCACAAACTACTGACACCTGGATTCCAGTCCAGTGAAGCCCACTTCTGACTGCCAACCTCCAGAACTGGAAGATGGTAGATTTGTATTTTTTTTTTAAAGACATTCAATGTGCAGTATAGCAGGACAGGAAATGGATTCAGGTGGTATATGTCATTTCTACCTTAACTTGGGACAGAGAATTGTGAGCTAGCCTTGGCCTGCCGCCTTCGACTAGGGGAAGTGATTGATTGTATTTCCTAAATTCAGTTGCTAGAAAGGTAGCATCTTAGAGGTCGATGGTACTAGCTCTGATTCAGGCCCACCTGGTACTACATCCTAGTATTAATCAATACAGAATACCAGTGATATTTCCCCTTAGTGTTTACTTTTGCTATCTCTGGTCTTACTAGAATTCTGAGCTTAATTATATTGTAATAAAATTATATCACAATGTCCCAAGCAAGGCCCAGCAGCCAAGGGCCATAGGACCTCGACAATGGAACCAATGACAGATTTGAGGGCGGCCCACATGGATGGAGAGGAATGAACATGCACCCCCATGGCTTGGCAATTTGTAAATTTGCTGAAACTGCCATGACTGTGGGGCAGCAGAGGAAGGTCCAAGTAAGACTAACATCAAGTTGACAACTTAGCAAAATGGGGGCATCGACCAAACAACTCGAGTTGAGGTGGAAAGGACTTGACCTGTATTTTCTGGGAGTCATACTTTCTACAATGGTGAGGTTGCGTGGCTGAGCCTCAGTTTCCTCACCTGTAAACTGGGAGGCATGAGTGTATATCTTAAAAAGCCACGAGGATTAAATGAAATCATCTTTGGCAAGATCTTAGCATAGTGCCTGGGACCTATTAGATGCTTAGTAAACCAACCATCATTTTTTTCCCTGTGTTTAGATATCTTGAATGGTAGCAACTTCTAATATTAGACTCTAATTGGAAGATAGGGTTAGGGGGTGGGTGGCATCTTATTTGCCTATGGAACTTCATTATTATATTTGAGTGTTTTGGGTGGGGGCTTAGAAATTTAGGGAGGGAAGAACTCTTTCCTCCTGCCTATCTCCAACCCTGAACTGAATACTTCATTAAATTTAAGTGGGTGAGTAGTTTTCAGACACTGGGTGCCTTAAGGCATAGTCTAGATTAAAACTAGTTTACAAGAAAAGTTGAAAGTTTCTTACTCTTGGAGGGAACTTTATAGACAGAAAGACCACCAGAGATGTTAACATTAAATAGAGTCTCTGAACAGACACAGCTGGTGTAGAAAGCCCCCTTCCTTTCTAAAAATCTGCCCTGTGATTTTAGGATTTATGGAGGTCAGCAAATAAGGCCCATCGACACCCAACTGCATGCAGTTTGTATTACATAGTTCTAAAAACACAGATTTTTAAAAATCAGACCTGGAAACCAGCTATCCCTATAGAACATCAACACCACGTCTTATATTTTGTTCTGTCACCCTCTCCCCGGGTCTCGCCAGTTGTAACCATTCATGTCACACGTGGGGTATGTAGAGAACTTATCAGTTGTCCCCGTAACTGTCCTACTTGAACCCAGGGGTCCACGTGCACAAATACTCTCTCACACACAAGCAGGCGACAGGGACTTACACCAGGACCTGCAGTTTACACTCGGGGTAACCCAAGCCCTCAAACAGAACTTCCATGCCTCTGTCCCCAATGGTGTTCTCGGCCAGGCACAGGTGGGTTAGCCTCTGGTTGACAATCAAAGCAGAAGCGAGGTTCTTGCAACAGGCTTCTGTAAGGTGACAGTTTTCCAACCTGCAAAAGGATCACACAGACGGTAAGATGGTGAGAACATTTGCCAAGGCCGACCTTCTTGGCCGTCCCCAAGTGCTAACGTCCTAAGGCCCTTCTTGTTAATTCCCCGCCCTCCCCGTCATGTGCTAGCGCGATCACATGAAGGAACAGGAATGAGAGAAGAGGTAGATTCATGAGTCAACCGCCTGGGTCTGAAAATGGGACCCAGCGTCTACCGACAGGAGCTTCCGAGGAGGGGGTGACCGACCATTTCTCTTCTCGCCATGCCCCAGATCTAAAGCGGAGCCACTCCATGGGAGGAGAGGAGACTTACAACAGCTTCTGCAGGAAGGACTTCGGGTGTCTCAAACTCGCATGCAGCAACTTGAGGCCCTCATCCATGAGCTTGGTGCCCGAGAGGATCAGGCAGGTCAGGGACTGGTTGGTTTCCAGGGCCTTGGAGAGATCGGCCCATTGCTCAGGGGTAGCAGAGCAGGACACCAGCCTGTGGGAGAGTGGGAACAAGTCATTCTTGACAATCCAGACACCATGATCCCGAAGAATTGCTTTCGGTGTTCTCTCTCGCTCGTTATGTTACACCCTGGCTTGAATTACTGGGAACTGCGGTTGTCAAAGTGTGGTCCCTGGAACCAGCTGGAAATACGAAACCTCAGTCATTCTGAGTCAGAAACCCTGGGTGTAGAGGCCATGGGTCTATGTTTCGAGGGGTTCTGTGTCCACCTGGAAGATCTATTAACATAAATTCACACGCCTTATCCCTAGAATTTGATTCAGAAGATCTGGAATGGGACACAAGAATTTGCATTTTAACAAGTCCCCAGGTGATGTTGGCCTGGGGGCCACATGCAGAGAACTAGTTATTCAGAAGTCCCACGCCTGTAATCCTAGCACTCTAGGAGGCCGAGGCGGGCAGATTGCTAAAGGTCAGGAGTACAAAACCAGAAGTCCCATCAACAGAGCCCATCATAAAGCCAGCACCCACATTCCAGTCCTAAAAGATTGTTAGAGGCAAAAGGAACTTCACTGAATCATACATGTCATTGTGGACTCTAGAGGATTTTTTGTAATCCTGGTTCTTCCACTCACTGTGTGGGTAACGTGGTCCAGCTGCCGGTACACTTAGCTTTACAGAGCCTCGTTTCCTCCATCTTTAAGTTGGAAATACAAGTCATACCTTTGAGTGTTGAAAGTTGGTAATCCACAAGAAATGCCAAGTAGAATACCTGCTACGTAGCTAAAACTCACTGGAATTCAGCTAAAAACCATTCTATTAGAGACTAACTTACAACAGAGGAACCACCTTTAACTGGGAAACTGAAACTCGAAGCAGAATGTTAATACCGTCCCCCAAAGCCTGAATTTATATGGAGTCTCCTTCTTCCATGGTGAGTATCAATTTATTCATTGAGAAACTAATTATTGACCTAAATCTTCAAGTGATACAATCTTGGTTTTCCTGATTAACATTCATAGGAAAAGGAAGGGTGGGTCATTTGTAATGGTTAGTAACAATAGTAAAGATTATTATTTTTTTTTCTTTTTGTCTTCCTTTCTTATTCTTTTTATTTTAGCATATTATGGGGGTACATGTGTTAAGGTTGCATATATATTGCCCATGCCCCCCCTCCCCCCTCGAGTAAGAGCTTCAAGCATGTCCATCCCCCAAACGTTGCACATCTTGCTCGTTGTGGTTGTATATACCCATCCCCTCCTCCCCTTTAATAGTAAAGATTATTGAACACATATGTGTTTGGACTGGTTTGTCTGATCCTCAAATCCTTGGGAGATGTATATTATCCCAACTTACTGATGAAGGGACCTAGTTAAGTGGCCTGTGATCATGTAAGTAGAGGCAGAGCCACAATTTGAGGCTGATGACCACCATAAACTGTGTTCCTGCTACCACCCAAGTGGCTCGAGTGAGGATCTGTGGAACCCCACGACAGTGATGCCGATCATCGCTGGAGCCGCCAGGTGGACAGCTTCCCCAGGGGAGATCTCTCACACCAGAGCACTGACATGAGAGGAACAACTTCATGTTCCCGAAGGGTCCTTGCCTGAAAAAAGTAGCTGGTGTTCTTAATCATGGCACAGGGGAAGCATGAACCACAAACAAACGATCCCAGAGAGGATGATACCAAGATTCTGTGAGTTTCTCTGGACTCAAGACCCTTGTGTACAGTTGTCCAGGTTGTCCACTGCTTAAGGCAAATGGAAGCTGAATTCTAGCCCATGGTCTATCTTGAGCCATCTTGAATAGTACCGGGCCCAGTCAAAATAGATGTTTCCAATTTACACAGAACTGCTATGTAGGCTTGTGGCAGCTGTTTGTATGATGAGGAGTTTTAGCGATGGAGAGATATACCTGAGATATTGCAGGTTACATTTTGGGTGTCTCAGGATTTCACACAATGAGGGAAGCGTGTCATTCTGGTCATTGCCTTGAAGGGTCAGATGTGTTAGAGTCTTGTGACGACTTAGAGCGTAGCAGAAGTTCTGATAAAAATCAGCTGGGGAAATGTTTTTGAGGCTAGGGAAAGAAAACAAAAGTGATGTCTTGAGTATCTTTCTACACTCATACTGTGCACAAACGGAAACAAAGCACTAGATATATTTAAACCTTAGAAACTATTTGTCCCCATGTTCCCAATGAAACTGAGAATTTTCATTGAGATCAAAGCCAACCTAGCTGAGTAAACTGCGTTTAGCCTCCTTCCCCAACCCCTGAGGCCTGACACCAGCCCAGATGTAGGCCTGCCGGACTGTCCAAGCACATGATCCACACAAAGGAATCAGCTCCAGGAAGACTCGGAAATGCTGTATTAGGTGGATATAAGCACACTTTGCTCTGAACGGAAGTATGTAATTATCTTTTTCAGGTGCTTCTTAGCTCTACCCTTCCTTTCCAACTTCATTCAATGACATTTTTGGTCATATCCAGACATACACCTGTCCAGCCCAAGAGGCTTTTAATGCTCAGTTCTCAGGCATGTCTCAACCTGCTCTCCATCTCTCTACATCAGTGGATCCCAGCCAGGGGTGACTTTGGACCCTGTGGGGACACGTGGCAATGTCCGGAGACATTGCTGGTTGTCGCACCTGGGGGAGGAGATGCAGCTGGCGTCTGGAGGGCAGCGGCCAGGGATGCTGCTCACTGTCCTACCATGCCCTGGGTCCCCCTCCCCCCCAGAGATATACAGACTCAAATGTCGCAGAGGGTGAGACATGTCATCATGATAGGATGAAGAATTTCCCTAGGATCTTCACGTTCTTCCTCATACTATCCTGTGGACATCCAAACTCTATTTCACGCTGTGTTAAAAATACTTCCTGTGATTATCCCACTAGACAAAGTTAAGACTAGGAAGGATTCTTCCAATTCCTGTGTCTTGAGCACCTGATTGGGGTCTGGGACAGGACTTTGAATATTGCTCCACTATTAAAAATGTAAGAAACCCAGTCATGCCCTGGGGATTTTAATCTAGGGATTGGTTTCTACTCACACCACTTTCTGGAGATTACAGGTGGTAGAAAGTATTTCTTGACAAAGAAGCTGCGCTGATGAGGTACCAAAGAAACTGTCTTTGATCTTCAGAAATGTCAGATTCTTATTTAAGCCAAACATGGAACAAATCTCTCTCCAGAAACGAAGTATGTCTCGATCATCCTGGGGTCTACAGGGAAGAGAAAGGGGTTATTGACCCAACATTTCCCATGGTGGCGAAGGACACGGGTTTCTCTGGGCATGGCTTTTGGAAAATTTGTCGATTGATCCTGTAATGACACAAAGCTTGAACACCCTTCCTGCAGCTGTGCCAAAAAAAAAAAGGAATGGTCACTTCATACATCTCATGAAATCTACACAACCAACACACAGACCTGAGCACGTCGAGCCATTTGCAAAACCTGCTCACCTGAGAGGAGAGGAGGCAGGTCTCAAAACAAGGTCTGACTCCAAAGCCCTAGTTTTTGGTCACAACATTGTACCTCTTGCCTTGAATGTCAAATGGGAAAAGTCCAGCAAGAGGGAACATGTGGAGCCTAAGCCACAGACGACCGGAGACTCTGGCCTCTCCCTAGCAGAGCACGGGCAGAGGCTGACGGTGGGAACTAGGAGGGTAAACCGAGTTCTTACCTCTCAAGCTGAGCCTGTGGTTCCGACGCAGCACCATTCTCCAAGAATACCTCCTCCGTTACATGCAGCCAGATTTTCTGCAGGTGTCGACAATGCTTGAGGCAGAAGGCAGAGTGCATCATGTCCGTTTTATCTCTCAAGTGCAGGGACATTTGCTTGAAGCGGGCCATGGCATCCTTCACCAGCCCCTGGTCCTGAGACTCATAGAGGCAGTACAGAAACTCCTTCGTGTCCGTCTCCGAGAAGGGTTTATTCTCATCCAGATTTGCTTTGTATTTCAGTAACTCCTCTCTGATCTTCAGAGACACTCGGCAGCCGAAAGTCATCTCCAACTCCTGGGCTCTCTTCTCATTCGAGAGGCCGAATAAGAAGTATCCCACCTGGATCAGGTTGGGGTTCTTCAGTCTCTCCTCCTTGGAGAACAGCTTCTGCACGTCCCCGATGTCCCGCGTGTGGCTCTCCCAGTCGTCGTCGTCGTCGTCATCCTCCTCCTCCCTCTCCAGGATGTAGAATGTGGCAGCCAGGAGCTGCTGGATGCTCAGGTGGACGAAGGAGTAGCAGCCTTCGCAGTCCCTGCCCTGATGGAGGACGCCCTTGTCCAGGAAAGGACGCAGGTCGGCCTCCTGCACCCCAAGGCTCCCGAGGTCTTCTGCGTCAAACACCCATGTCTGTGTCCACGTGCCCTGGGCGGCCAGGAGGCACAGGGTCCTCAGCGGGCCACGCAGGTGGTGGCTGGGGCTGCCGCCGGGCGCGGGCATGAACTGGCCACAGAGGAAACGCAGGAACAGCGACGTGGTGGTCAGGCAGCTGGGGGCCGGGTCCCGCCCCCTCTCCATCTGAAGCTTCAGACACGTGCAGATGATCCAGCACACGGCGGGCGCTGCGCTCATGCGGAACAAGGCCGCGTTGCTCTTCACCAAGTCCAAAGCTTGCAGGGCATCATCCTTATCTTCAAAGTGTCTCAAGAAATAGGCCTTCCTGTCTTGCTCCAGGAAGCCCTCGATCTCTAGGAAGAGGGACCGATTCACTAGGAGCTGGAGACCCTCCATGGCCTCGGTGCGCGTGGTGATCAGTATGGAGGCGCTGGGTAGCAGCCTCCCAATCAGGATGCTGCTCAGGATGATGTGCACTGGCTTCCGCTCGTCCCACTCGCCACAGATGTCTTGGATCAGGGCCCCCTCGGGGACTTTCAGGTCTTCAAATCCATCAATAATGACGAGGATCTTGTATGCCTGGGCGAGGACCTGTGACAGGTCATCCTGCCACTCCGGCCAGTCCTTGGAGATCAGCTCTATGAAGGTGCACGGGCCCATGCGGTTGAGCTCCTTGCAGGTGATGTAGAAGGCGAATCTGAACGTCTTATCCAGGAGGGTATCTGTCCAGTCCAGCATCACTTTCCTGGACAGTGTGGTTTTCCCAAAGCCCGCGGGGCCATGGAGCACCACCGTGAGCGGAAACACCCCCGGAAACGTCCTCGGGTCACATAAGGGGATCTGCATCTTGACTCTCTGGGTGACTTCGCTAATGTAGTCACTTTCTCGAGGCCCATTGTTCTTCCAGGCTTTCCACAGCTTCTTCTGTATGATCCCTCTGTATTTGTCCTCCTTACCTTCAGAGACATGGGGTACAGGACAGACAGGATATAGTTGGTTATCCATTAGGGGGAAAAGATACTTTGTGTTAAGTAGGAAAGAAAAAAGAAATGAAGTTGAGAAAGAGCAACTTCACCCCCGGCCTCATTCCAGGGACACATAACAGACCTGGCTTTGTTCCTTCCAGAAATCTTCTAGCTCTTTTCTGGTTTGAACGATCTTTTATCCGTCTTTTTTTCAACTCTGCAAAACACAAACTACAGTGAGCTTGACATAGAACAGGTGTACTGCCCTTATCAGAAGCTTAAGGATACAGCAGGTTCCATGGAGCCCAAAGTCTCATCCGAAGTCTTTGTCCAGGTTATGAGCTCGGAATTCCAATGGCTGGGTTTACAAAGATGAATAGGGCTAATGACCCCCCCGAGTCAAGTTACATGCCTCTATTCCAAAGAACCGTAACAAGAAATACGTGCTGTATCAAAACTCAACATGATTTATGCTTAATGACTTGTCTATTTTCTTTTTCCACTGGACTAGAACAAATGCCAGGAGCGCAGGAAACAGACCTTTGCCGTAAAAGCCTTAACTCATTATTGCTATTCAAATATTTGAGTAAGCAAGCCATAACATGCCACTATGTGTCCAGGATATCACAATTCCTAGGTACCTACCCAAGAGAAGTGAAAATGTGCCTATACAATGATTTGCACGTGAATGGTCCATCCGAGATCAGAATATGACACACAAAATATTCCTCAGTAGAACGAGGATGATCTTGAGGTAACTGAGAAGCAGCTAATACCAGGGCAGCTCTCTGCCCTCCGTTTGCCTAAAAATGGGGCCTAAGTTTACAAAGGTGTCCTCCCACCCCCCAGGAAGACGGAGGTGGATCAACAAAAGCAGCTTTAGACCTCATCAGTCTGGAGATAGCCCCTGAGGAATCTACATAAGTTTTATTAACTCCCATTTCTTTCCCTCCCCATAATTTGCCACCCTAGAGGTTCAAAGTCCTTCTCCTTTGTTTTCTACCTCTCTAAAATTCACTGTCTGCTGAAGATGCTATATAAGCCAGAGTTCTAAGACACCTCTTTGAGAATTACTCATTTCCTGGTTATTTACCATGCATATATAAAATACACGTTTATAAATTTGTTTTTCTTATATCTTTTTTTTTGGTTATATCTTTCTTTCGATATAGGGGCCCCAGCCAGTGAACCTAAGATGGGTATAAGGAAAACTCTTTCTCCCCTATAGGTAGGTCATAATAGCAGCATTATTCAAGATAAAAAAAGAAAAAACAAATTTTTTTTTTTTTTAGACAGAGTTTCACTTTGTTGCCTGGGCTAGAGTGAGTGCCATGGCGTCAGCCTAGCTCACAGCAACCTCAAATTTTTGGGTTCAAGTGATCCTCCTGCCTCAGCCTCCCAAGTAGCTGGGACTACAGGTATGTGCCACCATGCCCGGCTAATTTTATCTCTATATATTAGTTGGCCAATTAATTTCTTCCTATTTATAGTAGAGACTGGGTCTTGCTCTTGCTCAGGCTGGTTTCAAACTCCTGAGCTTGAGTGATCCTCCCGCCTCGGCCTCCCAGAGTGCTTGGATTACAGGTGTGAGCCACTGTGCCTGAGAAGCTAGTAAAAAATTAGGAGCAATTTAGATGCCCATCCACTGATGAGTGGGTAAACCAAACGTGGTGCATCCATACAAAGGCAGATCTAGAGAGACAAAGAGTACCATTTGCCTGGGGCTGGGGGACAGAGACCAGGGAGCCACTGACTACAAATGGGCATGTGGGGGTCTTTGGGGGTACTGAAATGTTGTCAAACTGGATAGTGGTGATGGCTGCACAACTCTGATTTCCTAGGAATTATTAAACAGTATGCTTAAAGAGGGAAATTTGTGATACATAAGTTTGTACTTCAGTAAAGCCATTTCAAAAAGACCGCCTACCAGGCAGACTTGAGAGGCCAATCTCAGACTGATCAAAGTTAGTGCAGATGAGTGATGCACCCCGATAGGTCTCAATTTGCTCATCTGCGAGTTGACACCACTAAAGTTGTCCGAGCGTTGAAACAGTAAATACATACAGTTATACCTGCCGTTAGGTTTATTCTAGGCAGGAACTCGAAAAGTAGGTATGGGACAGAATGGGGTTAATGGAAAACCGAGGTTTGTGTAACAACAGCCACGGGAATATGGAGAGCCCCCAAGGCTGGAAACCTAACAGACAGCTGCAGCCAGCATTCCCATCCCCCGTTAAACTGCCCGTCCTCCCTTATCGCTACAGGATGAGATTGACACAGGGGGCCAGAAATCGGTTGTTTAAAAAGGATTTTTATTGCAGCTACTGTTCTGGCCCTCACCATCCCCCTAAGAAACCCTCTATAGAACCCAAGGCTTTCCCCTCCCTCAGGGTGGATGCTCTTTGGCCTCCACCCATCTGCTCAAAATAAACTGCATTTTGCTACTGCTGAGGCTTCCTGTCTCTCTTGGCTCCGGACCAAATAAATACCCACCAACTTTTTAAAATTGAAAAAAGGTGGCAAACTCCAAGAGAAATGCTCTACAATCTTTTCCTAACTTTCTATAACCTGAGCTTTGTTTCTCTGTAACGTTTGTTCTTCTCTCTATTCTTACGCAAGGGAGGGAGGCGCTCAGGAGAAGACAATTGGCTTATTAAAACTAGTGGCTCATGCCTGTAATCATAGCACTCTGGGAGGCCGAGGCAGGCAGATCGCTCGAGGTCAGGAGTTCAAAACCAGCCTGAGCAAGAGCGAGAGACCCCCGTCTCTACTATAAATAGAAAGAAATTAATTGGCCAACTAATATATAGAGGAAAAAATTAGCCGGGCATTGTGGTGCATGCCTATAGTCCCAGCTACTAGGGAGGCTGAGGCAGGAGGATCGCTTGAGCCCAGGAGTTTGAGGTTGCTGTGAGCTAGGCTGATGCCATGGCACTTACTCTAGCCCGGGCAACAGAGAGAGACTCTGTCTCAGAAACAAACCAACAAACCTAGTGGGGAAAGATCGGAAAGGGATGGGGTTCTCAAAAGGAGTGGGACAGCCCCGAGAGGAGGGTGGCTTCACTTAGCTTGCGCCAGCGTTGGATGGGCTAAGACCAACCTGGGTCTCCTTCTTCTAAGCGCCGTATTATTTCTTCCTCCTCTTCATTGACTGGGGGCTCTGTCCACTTTATGCCTGAAGAAAAAGAGGACATTACAGGCCAATGACTGTGCTGACCTGTGGAACTTCAAGGTGTTGCATGCTCAACCACTGGGTCTTGACATTTAAGCCTAGATTACGTGAAGAGGCTGTTAACAAGGCACTGGACGTAAAGCCGAAAGTGTGTCAGCACGGTCTCAGGTTTACACGCCCAGGAATTCCTCCACGGTTTAGACCACACGGTGTGAAAAACAGATACATCCCCACACTCGCGCACAAGGGTGCCAGAAAGCCTTCGTGGATTAATTCCCAGGTTTCTGATAAAGTGGGTAAAATTACACTGTGCTGGGAAAGGACAGAGTGTCAAGGTAGAGTCACAGCAGGACAAGAAATATTTGAAGCTTCACACTGAATAAGGGCTCACTCCTGTAATCCTAGCCTGGGAGGCCAAGGCAGGAGGATCACTCGAGGCCAGCCTCAGCAAGAGAGAGACCCCATCTCTACTAAAAATAGAAAAAAAAAAATAGCCAGGTGTGGTGGCGCATGCCTGTAGTCAGTCCCAGGTACGCGGGAGGCTGAGGCAGGAGGATCGCTTGAGCCCAGGAGTCTGAGGTTGCTGTGAGCAGGCTGACGCCATGGCACTCTAGCCCCATGAAAGAGCAAGACTGTGTCTCAGAAAAAAAAAAAAAAAAATTGAATAACGAAGAAGAGGTGAGTCTATGGAACTTCTGGAATGATACCCAGGAGGCAACTGAATGTGAGCATCTGAACTTTAGGGCAAGTGCTGGTCTGAAAATATCCTTTGAAAAGTCTTTGGGGCCGGGCGTGGTGGCTCACGCCTGTAATCCTAGCTCTCTGGGAGGCCGAGGCGGGCGGATTGCTCAAGGTCAGGAGTTCGAAACCAGCCTGAGCAAGAGCGAGACCCCGTCTCTACTATAAACAGAAAGAAATTAATTGGCCAACTAATATATATAGAAAAAAAAATAGCCGGGCATGGTGGCGCATGCCTGTAGTCCCAGCTACTCGGGAGGCTGAGGCAGCAGAATCGCTTGAGCCCAGGAGTTTGAGGTTGCTGTGAGCTAGCCTGATTCCACGGCATACCCTCTAGCCTGGCCAACAAAGTGAGACTCTGTCTCAAAAAAAAAAAAAAAAAAAAAAAGTCTTTGGGATATTAATAGCTGGTAAGACAGCAAGTGATATAACCAGGACCAGTATGCCGAGTGAGAAATGGCCAGCCAGCCATCTGTTTTGACTTTTTAGGAGGAAGAACAGGAACCCTGAAGGAACTAAGGGAAAAAACCAGTCACCTACAAGATAAGGAAGACAAAAATGTCAGGGAAGCTTTTAAACAAATGCTAAGTGAGGCTGGGTGCAGTGGCCTGTAATCCTAGCAGTCTGGGAGGATTGCCTGAACTCAGGAATTTGGGACCAGCCTGAGCAAGAGAGCAAGACCCAGGGCTGGGCGCGGTGGCTCACGCCTATAATCCTAGCACTTTGGGAGGCCGAGGCGGGCGGATAGCTCAAGGTCAGGAGTTCGAAACCAGCCTGAGTGAGACCCCATCTCTACCAAAAATAGAAATTAATTGACCAACTAAAAATATATATACAAAAAATGGCCGCATGGTGGGCATGCCTTACCAGCTACTGGGAGCTGAGCAGAGGACGCTTATGCCAGGAGATTGAGAATTGCTGTTAGCGAGGCTGACGCCATGGCACTCACTCTAGCCTGGGCAACAAAGTGAGACTCTGTTTCAAAAAAAAAAAAAAAAAAAAAAGAGAGCAAGACCCAGTCTCTACAAAAAATAGAATTAGCTGGGCATCATGACATGCACCTGTGGACCCAGCTATACAAGAGGTTGAGGCAGGAGGATTGCTTGAGCCCAGGGGTTTGAGGTTGCTGTGAGCTATGATGGCACTACTGTACTCCCCGTCTGGACAACAGGGTGAGACCCTGATTCTAAAAAATAAATAATTTCAATAAAAAGAAGTATATTGGTGGCCGGGTGTGGTGGCTCACGCCTGTAATCCTAGCACTCTGGGAGGCCGAGGCGGGCGGATTGCTTGAGGTCAGGAGTTTGAAACCAGCCTGAGCAAGAGCGAGATCCTGTCTCTACTATAAAAAGAAATTAATTGGCCAACTAATATATATAGAAAAAATTAGCCAGGCATAGTGGCGCATGCCTGTAATTCCAGCTACTCGGGAGGCTGAGGCAGCAGGATCGCTCGAGCCCAGGAGATTGAGGTTGCTGTGAGCTAGGCTGACGCCACGGCACTCACTCTAGCCTGGGCATCAAAGCAAGACTCTGTCTCAAAAAAAGAAGTATATTGGTGATGTCAAGAGGAGACACTGTTGGAAAGGGAAAAAAAAATCATTTAGGCCACAGTTAGCAAACTTCCCCCAACCTCATACAGGGCCAGATGATAAATATTTTGTGTTTGCAAAATTTCCTACAATTTCATGAAACATTCTTTTTTTTTTTTGAGACAGTCTCACTTTCTTGCCTAGGCTAGAGTGAGTGCCATGGCATCAGCCTAGCTCACAGCAACCTCAAACTCCTGGTCTCAAGCAATCCTCCTGCCTCAGCCTCCCGAGTTGCTGGGACTAAGGCATGAGCCACCATGCCCGGCTAATTTTTTATATACATATTATGGCCAATTGATTTCTTCTATTTTTATATAGAGACGGGCTCGCTCGCTGGGTTTGAACTCCTGACCTTGAGCAATCCGCCACCTCACGCCTCCAGAGTGCTAGGATTACAAGCGTGAGCCACCGCGCCCGGCCAAAACATTCTTGATTTTTTTTCCTTTGCTAAGTGAGGGTCTTGCTATGTTGCCCAGGTTGGTCTTGAACTCCTGGGCTCAAGCAATTCCTCGATCCTTGGCAGCCTCTGGAGTAGTTGGGATTACAGGTGCATGCCACTGAACCTGGTTTTAATTTTTATAACCATTCAAAAATGTAAAAAAAGTATTCTTAGCTTATGGGCTATATAAAAACAGATGGCAGTCTGGATTTGGCTTTTGGGGCTGCTGTAGTTTGACAATCCCTGCTTTAGGTCAATCTAAAAATCTCTAACTCATCCAGATGCAAAAGAAAAGTTTTCTTTCCCACCTTGTACACATTTACTGATTTCTGGTACAGACACCACCTCATTTTAGCTCCCTGGTCTTACTGTTACCCAGTGTGACAAGCTCCTCTTTGGGAGCAGGGGCCACGGCTTGCATTTCTTTGCACTCCTAGTGCTCAGCACAGTCTCTTGTCTTATTAAGACAGATCCCTCCCCAAGTTTCAAAATCTGACATTAGGAATAAAAGTTGTATATGAGGTAACTTACCCAGTGAGAGGGGCTTGTTTTTCTCAAGTGATCTCATAGCTGCTTCTGAAAGAGGAGGTGGGAGAAATTTGCATCTGTCAGAGCCCAGACCTGGTAGGCGTACAGCTTTCTGCGTCCCCTCCTGCCATTTTTCAATTTGTGATCTCCACGAGGCCAGCTAGAGTTTAAACTCCCCACTTGCACATTAAGGACAAGGAACGTTATACTAGTTAGGTTTGTTCCAGGTGGGAACTTAATATGTATGGGACAGAATGTGGTTAATGGAAAACCGACGTTTGTGAAACAACAGCCTCAGCAGTCTGGAGAGGACTCCCTGGAGGAGGTTGGAAACCTAACAGACAGCTGCAGCCAGCATGCCTATGCCCCCTGATAAGATGAAACTACCCCACCCCTCCTTATCTCTACAGGCTAAGACTGACCCAGGGGTCCCAGAAATTGGTTGTTTGAAAAAAAAAATCATTGCAGCTGCTGTTCTGGCCCAGGTACTCATTCCCCCATAGGAAACCCTCTATAAAATCCAAGGCTTTCCCCTGCCTCAGGATGGATGCTCTTTGGCCTCCACCCATCTGCACCCAGATGCCCCAAAGAAATAGCATTTTGCTACACATGAGGCTTCTGTGTCTCTTTTGGTTCTGGACCTAACAATATAATCTCTAGACTAGCAATTTTTTAAAGAAAAAAAGGACAGGATTTCCTTCTTTTTAAAGACTGAGTAGTCTTCCATTGTGTATATGCACCACATTTTCTGTATTTACTCATTGATGGACACTTCGGTTGGGTCTGTGTCTTGGCTATTGTGAGTAGTGCTGCAATGAACAAGGGAGTGCAGATATCTTTGACATACTGATTTCATTATGCCAAGTGAGAGAAGCCAGGCACAGAGGGGCAAATACGGCATGGTCTACGTGGATTCTAAAAATGTTGACCTCACAGAAACAGAAAGAATGGTGGTTACCAGGGACTGCAGGTGCAAGGGAAAGGGGAGATGTTGGTCAAAGGGTCACAGTGTCATTTGAACAAGTGCAGTCATCTACTGCACAACAGGGTGACTACAGTTGATGTATACATCCAAATTGCTAGAGAAGGCCGGGCGTGGTGGCTCACGCCTGTAATCCTAGCTCTCTGGGAGGCCGAGGCGGGCGGATTGCTCGAGGTCAGGAGTTCGAACCAGCCTGAGCAAGAGTGAGACCCCATCCTACTAAAATAAAGAATTGGCTATAACAATTATATATATATATATAATATATATATATATTATATAATATATAAATTAGCCGGCATGTGGCGCATGCCTGTAGTCCCAGCTAACTGTGAGGCCTGAAGCAGAAGGATTGTTGCAGCCAGGAGAGAGGTTGCCTGGAGCTAGGCTGACCACCCATGGCAACTCACTAGCTAACAACAAACGATGAACTGTTCTCAAAAAAAAAAATGTAAGAGAGTAGATTTTAAATATCCTCCATAAAATATGATAAGAAGCGTAGGTAAAGGTGGATTTGTTAATTAGCTTGATTTAATCATTCCACATTATAAACATAAACATATCAAAGCATACAATTGTACCTTAACCTAAAAATTATCAATTTAAAAATGTAATTATAGGACAGAGAGTAGAGCTGTTTTAAATGCACTTACAGAAGAGCAAGAAAAATATTACCACTTCCAGCGGCGTGGTGCACTCACGCTGTAATCCTACAACAGTCTGGGAGGCCGAAGTAGGAGGAGCAGGAGGATCGCTCGAGTGCAGGAGTCCCAAACCAAGCCGATCAAGAGACGAACACTGCTCTCTATGAAAAATGAAGAAAATCAGCTGGAAACTAAAAATACATATGAAACTATTACCGGGCATGTGACCTGCCTGTAGTTCAGTACCAGGACTGCCGAGGAAGATCACTTGAGCCTAGAGATCGAGGTCTGTGTGAGCTAGGCTGATACATGGCATTCATTCAGCGGCAACAAAGCAGAGACTGTCCAAAAAAAAAAATTTATATAATTATACATTTCCTAGAGTAACATATTCCTGTCTGAGATAAATGGAAGCAGCTGAAAAAAGTTTAAACACCTCTATATTTTGTTTCATCGTCCACATTATATAAAGATAAGGTGTCCAGGGATAGTGCTCATCCCTTTTACCTTAGCACCTTGGGAGGCTGAGTTGGGAGGATAGCACTTGGTCAGGAGTTCAAGACCAGCTGAAGCAATAGTGAGACCCATTCCTACAAAAAAAAATACAAAATACTGGTGTGGTGCGGCACCGATAGTCCCAGCTACTCGGGAAGGCTGAGCAGGAAGGTCACTGTAGCCCAGGTATTTGAGGTTTGCGTGACTACGCTGACACTATGTGCATTTCTAGCCAGGGCAACAGAGCGAGACGTCTCAAAAAAAAAAAAAAAAAGAAGAGAAAATAATCACCCAGCCCCAAATACTATTAGTGCTGTTAACCTAAAGGAAGGTAGAGGTTTGAATTTGTGAGTGCATATGTACTAGAATGTTTATACCACATGGGGAAGGAAGTCTAAAGGGGAATTATTATTTTTGAGACAGAGTCTTGCTTTGTTGCCCAGGCTAGAGTGAGTGGCGTCATCAGCCTATGCTCACAAGCAACTCCAAAACTGGCTCAAGTGATCTCCTGCTCAAGCTCCGAGTACTTGGAACACAGCATGCACCACATGCTGCTAACTTTTTCTATATATTTGTTGTGCCAATTAATTCTTCTATTTAATATAGAGACGGGTCTGCCTCTTGCCAGGCTGGTTCTGAACTCCTGACCTAGAGTGATCCGCCTGCCTGGGCCTCCCAGAGTACTAGGATTACTGGCATGAGCCACTGTGCCCGGCCCCTAAAGGGGAATTAAAACAGAGTATATAATAACTTAACATCTTGGAGGACATATGAAAGACTGATCATGAATACATTTCAGATAAATCGTCTTGCACAGAAGAGAGGACAGAATATCTGGTGAAGAGGTTGGGGCAGATGGAGAGGTACAGTTCCTGGGGGACTGGTGTCAGGACCTCCCCACATACCACAATCTGTAGATGCTTAAATCTCATAAAATGGCATAGTATTTGTATATAACCTAGGCAACACCCTCCTGTATACTTTATATCTTCAGGTTACTTATAATGCCTCACATAATGTAAATGCTACGTAAGTAGTTGCTACATTATATTTTTTGCTTTTCCCCCAAATTATTTTTGATCTGGAAATGGCTGAATCTGCAGACGTGGAACCCACAGGTATGGAAGGCCAACCGATACATAAAAAGAGTAGGGACAGGTAGAACATAGGAATAATGACAGACACCATCAACCTTTATGAAGACCTGGCTTCTAGACAGGTAGCTCCTCCAAGCCTCAGTGTCATTTCTGAATTTCTAGAATCCTGGAGACTGTTCCTCCTTCCTTCCAGGAAGGAATGGTTTCTGCTCACCTCTGAGTACATTCATTATTCTCTCAGCCAGATCCATCCGGTTCATGCTGCCAAAGACGCAGATGGCCGCCGTGCTCACCCAGTAGCTGACATAGTGTTTGATGATGATTTCTGCCAGCTGCTTCGTATCAGCCTCGTCTACCTCCGCCTGGATGACCTGCAACTGCTCCCTTTTCTGGGGAAGTGCCTTCCATAAAGACTTGAACTTGCTCAGTTCATCCTGACTGAGCTCTTCCAGAAGAGCCTGCAGGCTGTAGTCCAGCTTTGCGGGAGGGTCCATCTCGTCCCACCTGTGAAATCTGAGCTTCAGCTTGGAGGCAGAATCAAGGGGAGAAATGGAGACAGTGAATCAGCACTCCTGTCTTATTTGATTTTTGAGGCAGAGTCTCACTCTGTTGCCCAGGCTAGAGTGAGTGCCATGGCATCAACCTAGCTCACAGCAACCTCAAACAATCCTGCCTCAGCCTCCCGGGTAGCTGGGACTACAGGCAAGGCGCCACCATCCGGCATAATTTTTTTGTAATTACTATATTTTAGTTGGTAATAATTCTTCTATTTAGTAGAGATGGGCTCGCTCTTGCTCAGGCTTTCAAACTCCTGACCGTGGAGCTATCCGCCTTGGCCTCCCAGATGCTAGGATTATAGGCGACACGCCTGGCCCACACTACACCACCAACGTCTGTGCCACCAGCAGAGACACCGTAACTGCTTACCTTGCTCCTTCAAGAACAATGTCCCCAATAGAGGTAAAATTCACACAGAACTCTCCTACTGCTTGGCTTGGCATATAGGGTTCACCTTTTGAGTCTTGGACCCTGAGAACACACACCTTAGGGCAGGGGGTTAGTCTATACTGCTGCATGCCGTGTTCCCAGCAGATCGGCAGCTCTCATTAATAGGTGGTGCAAAATGGCTAATGAGACCTAAAACTTACTCTGATAAAACCTTGATATGTATTATCTAGGTTGATGGAGCTTGGGTAATTAGAGCACGATCTGTTGACAGTATTACACTCACTGCTCAGTATTGGGTGGCTCTTGATTTACCGTTTGACCTAAGAAGAAGCACCATCTGGATTGGAAACCTGCTCACCGAACGCGGATGGATATGCATGCATAAATTGTGTGATGGGTTCCCAGTGTATGCTTATCTCCATACTCATAAAGTTGTGTACACGGCCCCCTTATCCACGGATATGTTCCAAGACCCCAGTGAACCTAGAACCATGATAGTATGAACCCTCATATATACTGTTTTTCAGCTTATATACATACTAAAGTTAATTATAAATTAGGGGACAGTAATTAACATACTAGTCCAAATGGCATAAAGAGTGACAACAGGCAGGTGGTAAGTACATACATCAAGAACGAGCGACACACGGCCAAAGGGATGATCGTCACATCTGGGTGAGACAGAGGGAAGGCTCTAGATTTCATCAATGCTAACCAGACGGGCATGCGATGCTCAACTATGAGTTATTCTGAATTTCCATTTAGTATTTTTGACATGGTTGACCACCGTAACAACTATGAAAGTAAACTGCAGATAAAGGAGGAGAATAAGTGATAACCAATAAATACTGTGTTTTATTTTACTTTTATAGCTCTATTATCGTATTAACAGCATAAAATGGTACATTATTATTTATCACTCAATGTACGAGAGAATTTTGAGATTAATACTAATATTGATCAGTTGTAAGTAAAATGATCAAGTAATTAACACATCA